AATTATAAATTCTTTTGAATAAAATAAATAGAACAAATTTTTTTGGAGGTGCAAGAAAAGAGTCTAGGCTGACTACTACTTTAATTGATGATGAAAATAACGAATTTAATTTATTTAATTTGTTAAATGATCAACATGTAAATCAAAATACACTTTATGAAATTAAGATCAAGGTAATTATAAAGTACCAAATTATTGTCATAATTATATAACACTATCATTTATATTAGAAACTTTTTGTTTTCTCTGCCCAAATATTAGTCAACCTATTTGAAAAGTTGCTTATTAAACATTGGAGTTATGAAAACTTTCAGTGTTGAAATAAAATGTGAAGCATCAAGATCTAATGACTGTGACAGTGACAATGAAAACAGACATTTTTTATTATTTTCAGCAATTGATGTTTATGGAAGAAAAGAAGTACAATGCAATCTCTTATTTATTTATTATTTTAAAATGATGTTATTGTTTATATTTCTCTTTATCTAACATTATTCTACCCTAGTGCAAAATTCCAATTGCATGTCCTCTAAATCATCAGGGACTAACACCATCATTTAGGTAATTTATATATATATTTCATAATCTTTTTAAATTTTATAATGATAATAAAGATTATTATTAATATTAATAGTTATAAAAACCTGTGTCCACAACAAATTTTACCAATGATGCCAAGAGAAATAAATGCAGAAATAATTATTAAAGAAAATGGAATTATGTTGATCAGGGTTAGTCAAAAATTTATTCCATTTAAAATAAATAGATATAATAATAATAGTAAATATTAAAAAAAAATATCAATTTTTTTAATTAGGTTCCTATAAGTGAAAATTTGAATGTTGAATATACAGTAACTATATTATAATTTATTTATTTTTTATTTCTAAAACAAACCATAATATATATTTATTTATTAACAAATTTTTATTTCTTGAAATAGTTTTTTCCTTTAAGCAATGATAATTGATTTAAATACATAGCTATGAACCTATACACTATGATTCAACAAGAAAATTCAACATTTTCGGAATCATATCTTGATAATTTTTTTTACACTTATAATTGTCTTAAAACTTAGCAAAATTTGTTTAATGCTTCTGATTTGCTTATTAAAAAAAAAAGTTTAAATTACCCTCACTTGAATGCCATCATTCTCATCCTGTTGTAACATAATCAATCTCCCAAAAAATTTTCGCAAAATCTAATAATTTAATATCTTTCGTTCTCTTTCTTAATTGTTAACTATATGAAAACATCCATGATACCTCTTTTTATTGTAATTAATACCATTTATATTTGAAGTTTATGATTATAGATAATCTACAAAAAAAATTTAGAAAACACGCATAATGTCTATTGTTAAAGAAAAAAACTATTGAATCACAAACCAAAAATTTATTTAGAGATGAATTAGTAGACCTTTGTAGGACAGGGTGAATATTTTTTTACTCACTAAGTAGTTGTTGAGTTGTTATGCATCAGGATTAAAAATGGAGAAATTGAAAGCACGTCATTGCCACAGCCTGCGAAAGTTGCCAGTAGGTAATCAGATACAATGTTATGATGGACGATCTGCTGTGAACGTTCTTTCTCCTCCCGAAAAGCTGGCCGATCAGGTGTCAGAGCCTGAGACAATAGGATATATGAAAGCACATCGTGACTACGGTTTGTGAAAGCTTCCGGTTAGGTGGTCAGACTTAACGTATAGTGACAACGTTCATCAACGTTCATTTTGCTTCTTTTATTAATTAAACCGGAGATTTGTGAATGTAAAAATAAATGTATTATAAATTCATTAAATAAATAAAAACTTTTATTAAATTTTTAATTTATTTAGTGGTTTGTAAAGTTGGTCTGAAAGAAGTTGGTGAATTTGAAGGTGTTATTAACTAGTTTTAATTATGAGGCTTGAATTCTAATTCCCTTTATAAGTAGAAGAAAAACAAACAATTTTACGAAACGATCACAGGTTTTCATTTGCCATTATTCAAGGTAAAAAAAATATTTTAAAGGTTCGAAAGTATTGTCAGCAGTTTGGTTCGTGTGAGGTGCTTTTTTTTTCATTAAAAAATTACAATTAAATTAGTTAAATTTGAAAAGATGCTTATTTTTATATTTGTATTTATTTTTTTTTTAAATCGAAATATTCTTGGCGAAATTGTAAATCTGGAAGACCACCAGAAGTTGTATAACAACATTGTCTTAAAAAATTATTAAAATACTTCTTTATTTGCCTTGTTAGGAAAAAACCATTCTATTTTTTAAAAGATAAACTTTTAATTTCGATTTCGATTTCATGTTATTGTATTAACCAATTTTATACTTATTTGTAATGTATCTTTATGATCGATCTGTTTTCTTGAATAAGATTGGTTTTCACTAATAAATCATTAATAATTATTCAGTATATAACGAATTCTAAGATTTATGTATATTCAAATTAGTTCTCTCGAATAAAATAATAGTTATTAATAACAAGTTTCGACTTGATAAACTCGTATCAAATTAATTCCTAAACCATTCATTGGTAAGGGATTATTTGGCAAAAAAAACTTCTCACGAATCTGTTCCAAAACTAGATTTTTATTAGGCGTTAATAATTATTAATCTAATTAAATAAAATCACTGAGGTTGTTATTCCCCGTGACCTGTCACGGGGACTATAAAAGATCTCAGTGATAACGAAATATATATAATCTACAAAATAAATGCATTCTGACGTACACATGACGACGACAACAAAATTTGGAAATTGACCATATATAAACGTAAAAATTTAAAAATTTAAAAATTTAATGGAACGTTTGACCATATAAACGTTGGAAATTTAAAAAAAAAAAAAAAAAATAAATTTTAAAATTAGAATCCGGTTAGAATTGAAAAATTAATAAAAAATCCGTTTTGACGTATGCGTGACGAAGCACGAAAAAAAAAATTCAATTGAAAATTATATAGAACGTTTGAACATGTACATGTTGAAAATTAAAAATTAAAAATTAGTTGAAAATTTAAACAAGAAAACCAAATCAGTGAATGACAAAAAATAATGCATTCTTATTCTTACCATATAAACGTTGGAAATTTAAAAAAAAATTTAAAATTAGAATCCAGTTAGAATTGAAACTAAAATAAATAAAAAATCCGTTTTGACGTATGCGTGATGGAGCATGAAAAAAAAAAAATCAATTGAAAATTATATAGAACGTTTGAACATATACATGTTGAAGCAAGAAAACCAAATTAATTAAGGATTTATGTTCCCATGAAACATGTATATATTATATCCTATCATTCGATTACAATTGTAAATTGTAAATAAAGTGCTTGACAACACTATCATTTGGTTATTCTATATAATAATAATATAATAATAATAAATAAAGATAAATCTTGCTATCAATACTATTAAAAATTTACTTATCTACTTATTATCTACTCATCTACACCCCTAATTATAAAATCCACATATAACACCATCATGTCCACTAACAATGACAATAATTCTGAGGCTGCCATCTATGCCGAAAGGCTGAGAACACATGGACGCTTAATGATGCGGGCTGTTCGTGAAAGAGAGAGTGAAGAACACCGAACATGTCGCTTACAGCTACTTTGGGAAAAAAGAAAAAATGAACGTATTATAAATGCTACAATGAGCAGTAAAAAAGCATTGACACCCCTACAAATACCAGTCTTGCGTCATTCCATTGGGAGGATGGAAAAAGTTTGTGCTAACTGCAAGGCACTAATGTGGGTGGATGAAAGGAAGTGCGACTCATCCCGCACTAACCCAAAATTTACTGTTTGCTGCTCTAATGGTAGGGTGCAACTCCCTCCTCCCGAACCATTGTACTCTCTTCTTTTTGGATCCAACGCATGCTCATGTCAATTTCGAGAAAAGATCCGAGCGTACAATTCCGCCTTAGCATTTACATCTATAGGTGCTCACATTGATGAGCAAACTGCAGGTACTAAAGTTATCTACCTATATGTATCATATATGGGGCATGGACAATAGAAAGGGACCAAACATCAAAATCACGATTTTGAGATAATTGAAAAAAAGATCTGCATTTCAAGTAATTACCTATTGTTTTTAAAAACCTTAACAGAAAATATCTCAAAATTTTATTAAGTAATGTGGGTATTGTTCTTAAGCTAAAATTGTTCCTTGCAACAAGTTACATATATATATGGCATCAACTCAAAATCATGATTTTTGACGTTTGCCCCCTTTCTATTGTCCATGCCCCATATATGTATCATTCCATCAATTGATGTTATTTTGTGTTTTTGTGATTCATTACTGAAACCTGCTTATGTGTGATATTACTATTACAGGCATTTACACCTTTCGCATTCATGGAGAGATGTATCACAATATTGGATCTCTTCTCCCATCAAACAACAATACACAACCACAGTTCGCACAAATTTACTTCTATGACACCGAAAATGAACTTCAAAACAGGTTGAATGTGATGCCTCAATTAAATAAATCCTACTGTACTGGCAGAGCTTCAGGATATGCTCCATAGGACTAATCCTTATGTTTCCATCTTCCAACAGGCCTGTGACACCTGGCTCACTAATCCAGTCCTGCCTATCTCCATGATTATCAAAAACTCTCGCACTAATGATCCACGTTGATACAACATTCCCACTGCTAATGAAGTTGCAGCTATTGTAATTGATGCTGATGATGAAAATGTAGCTCCTACCAGAGACATAATTCTTCGACTTCAGGAAGGTGGTCTAAAACGTACACTCTGTTACATTATGTGCTTCTTTTTCCCCATGGAGAAGATGGATGGCATTCACACATTCCTATCTGCGATATCCATGATAATTCATGCTCTCCTGTTGACCAAACAGACCAAGCTGAGAATAGGGATGACATTTATGAAGACCAACTACCTATCACTGAAGCCAAGAAAGTCACTCAATTAGAATATTATTCTTATCGTCTTCAAGTACATGAAGGAGAAAGTAGGCATCTACACCAATCTGGCTGTCTGTTTCAACAATATGTGGTAGATGCTTACGTAAGCATTGAACATAATTGTTTGAATTGGTACAGACAAAACCAGAACAGAATCCGCTCTGAGTTATACCAAGGTACATAAGCTATATATATATACGTGTGTGTGTATGCTCATTTACTTATTTGACACAATTCTTATAATACCTTCTGTAACAATCAGGTTTACAGGATGCTATATTCCGATCTGATACAGTTACTGAAAATGTGGGAAGAAGAGTTGTACTTCCATCTTCATTCACAGGTGGACCACGCCAAATGCACCAATTGTACCAAGATGCTATGGCAATTGTGCGCTCATTCGGTACTCCAGACCTCTTCATCACATTCACATGCAACCCAAAGTGGCCTGAAATCACACAAGAGTTACTTGAAAATCAAAATGCAGCTAATCACCCTGACTTGACCTCCCGTGTCTTCAACATAAAGTTAAAAAAGCTACTACAGGATCTTATCAAAGATGGTGTTTTTGGGAAAGTGGTTGCACATATATCTATGTGGTTGAATTTCAAAAACGCGGATTACCTCATGCACACATCCTTATTATCTTGGCAAGTATGGACAAACCTTGCACAGTAGATGACATCGATAAAATGGTTTCTGCTGAAATCCCAGATCAAGAAATCTATCCTTTAGCATATGAAACTGTCACCACTATGATGATACACAGTCCATGTGGAGCTTTAAACCCAAAAGCTCCCTGCATGAAAGATGGCACATGCTCAAAACGCTATCCCCGTGAATTTAACACTACTACCATCATGGATGATAATGCATATCCTACTTATAGAAGACGAAATTATGGTTGCTTCAACATGTATATGTTCAATGTTCTGTATAATTTTCAATTGATTTTTTTTTTTCGTGCTCCATCACGCATACGTCAAAACGGATTTTTTATTTATTTTAGTTTCAATTCTAACTGGATTCTAATTTTAAATTTTTTTTTAAATTTCCAACGTTTATATGGTAAGAATAAGAATGCATTATTTTTTGTCATTCACTGATTTGGTTTTCTTGTTTAAATTTTCAACTAATTTTTAATTTTTAATTTTCAACATGTACATGTTCAAACGTTCTATATAATTTTCAATTGAATTTTTTTTTTCGTGCTTCGTCACGCATACGTCAAAACGGATTTTTTATTAATTTTAGTTTCAATTCTAACTGGATTCTAATTTTAAATTTTTTTTTTTTTTTTTTTAAATTCCAACGTTTATATATGGTCAAACGTTTCATTAAATTTTCAATTTCCAAATTTTGTTGTCGTCATGTGTACGTCAGAATGCATTACTTTTATTTTGTAGATTATATATCACTGAGATCTTTTATAGTCCCCGTGACAGGTCACGGGGAATAACAACCTCAGTGATTTTATTTAATTAGATAGATTATTTAATTAGATTATTGCATTTTTTGAACGAATCACGAAATCGTAATTTTTTGAAATTTGAGCGCGTGGCGCAGCAATAAGAGGTCTTTAGACCTAACCATACGACAATTTTAGATTTTCCCAGAACTATACGTGTAACCGATCCAATTTATTTACTTACCCATTGTAATACAGCAATAATAAATTTTTATGGTGATCATTTCCTTAAATAGATATTGCTACCTTTATAATTGAATTTATTATTTTTTTTTTTTTAATATTATTAAGCTTACAACCCTCATAAAGTAATACCCATATAAAGGTTTGCAATATCTTCACAACCACTTATTAAGGTCTTTTAAGCAATACTCAAAAAAAGAATGTAAGCTTTAAGTGAAAATATACGTGATATTTGAATAAACATAACTTTATATAGAAGTTGCTTTCAACATAAAAAAATATTTGTTGGCAAGCTTTAATGGTGTAGTTTCACTTTACTTTAATAAAGAAGAAAATAACAAACTATTTTAAAAAATATTTGGTTACACGATTTTCCAATTGAATAATAACAATAAATGTATAATTTAGAACGAAAACGCGTAGATAGTAGTTTGGTTGCTTTTTACAAATCTGACAACCCTCGTTGTATATAGCAAGATCAGCAATAAATAAGAGGTCCTTTATACAGATCATCTGACATATGCTACACATAGTAGCTAAAATTTTTTTTGTTATTAATTAATTATCAATTTCTCAAAAAAAAATTCACAATGGCTTGTCTTCCTGCTGACTGTCTATCTGAAATCTTTTCATATCTTGAGAATGATATCAATTCACTTTATAATGCTATACTAGTAAATCGACTTTGGTGTGAAAGAGCTGTTAGGTATTTGTGGAAGCAACCATTCTATTTACGAATCAAATCATTCAGAAAGTTAAGTCGTGTATCTCGTAATTCTCCTGAAGGTTTACGAGTTTTTATGAAGCTGGCAAATACTTTATTACAATGTATTCAATATAACCAAAAAAGATCTAATGGAGACATAAGGAACGCGATATATGTACTCAAGTTTGATTATATATCATTCATACGTAGACTGAATTTCTATCATTTAAGGATTGTGCTTATGCAATGGGCAAGGTTTTTAAGAGCCAATCCAGAAGAATTTGACACAGAACTTGTCATTGAAATATTGCAAAGAAGAAACACTAGAAAGTTTGCAGAAAAATTTTTAAGTGATAAGGATAATTCTATTTTAGTTCAGATCATTGAAACCATTGAGAGATCATTAATTTTACAGATTCCTAATTTAGAATGTTTCTCGATATATGAACCAAGCCTTAACACAAAATTATTTTGGAATATTCGTAATAATTTATATTTTATATATCCTGAAGGTGACCTTGAATGTTTCTCACGGTTGACTAATTTTGAATGGTCTGCTAGAACTACTAATGGAGAAAACTTTTTAAGAAAACTTTGCAATGTTGCACGCAATCTTAAGGCAATTAAGTTTGATTGGTATGAAGATTCATTTTTAATGTTCTTCACTAAAAACACTAAAAACGATGAAATATTGATAGATTTAATAAAGTCGCAAAAATCATTACAAGAATTTCATTTTTCAAATTATTCAATGGACATGCTTCCAAGTATAGTCACGGGTCTTAAATTTCAATCAGAAAATTTAACAAAAATAGTTCTGAAAGACATTATATTTAAGAATTTGGAGTTTCTTAATTTTATATTAAATTTGAAGAATCTCCAAGATTTAATTATCAAACGTTGTGATCTTAAAAGATTCGATCAAAATTGTTGGCCGTTGGAATGGAAAATACCACATTTAATAAAATTCGAGTTTCTTTATAACTATCCATTTCATTTTGTCAGAACTATTTCAGATTTACAAGAATTTGAAGACAAAAATAGCGATCATATTTATGATCATAATAATTCAACTCTCAAAGAAATAAAATTGAATCAACATATTTCCAATCCTGATATTCTGACTTTTTCGAATTTTATTTCAACAAATTGTCCTAATATCAGTAAACTTGAATTGAATAGTTACATTAGTGTCACAGCATTGTCACAAATTTTATCAACTTGTTCAAATCTTGAAAAAATAATAATCAAAGATAAACATTGGTCCATTAGCTTACATAAAGAAACTGTTCATGACGTTGACAAAATCATGAATCAGATCGTGTTAACTAAATTGAAAAAGCTGGAATTGGAAGGAGCATTCTCTTTTAATCATAAGTCATTTGAAAAATTCTTGAATAATTCAACACCTCCGCTTAAAAAACTAATAATAACAGGATCAAGCTGTTTTGGCAATGACCATCTCAAAGTAATAATGGATTTACGCGGAGAAAACCTTAGAAAAGTTCATATATTATCTGCAAAAGACATTAAGAAGACTCTTGTGAATAAAGCTACTCGGATGATAAAAGATTTTAAATACAATTTACTAAATATAAAAACTAGTCAAGATTTAAGAATTCTTCGTTATTCAAAAAATCGAGCTAACAGAAGAAATTAATTTTAATGTTTTTATTTGCTAATCATTTATAAGATTTATCAAATTTAATAAATAAATAATCTCTTAAAAATATTTTGCTAAATTAATAACATTTTGCTGAAAAATAAAAAATTGGCAGAATAGAGCCCACGTTTCTTGTAGTATATTTCATTCGTAAACTTGGATCATAGTACTACAACAGAACTAATGAACAGAAGTACGTATAAACCTTTGATTCTAAGTAGCTGATATCTTAAATATTTTCGATTTGAATGTTATCTTCGCCACTCGTAATAATAATATAAATAAAGTCTTAATAATATTTCAAGTCAAGCTTAAGGTAATTTTATTTTGGTAAATATTGAATTACATTTAAATATACTAAATAATCTTCTCTTCCACACACCTGATTACTAGTACTAAAAGCTTTAAATGTAAGAATTTAGCAAAATCATAAAAATAATCTCAACTTTCGTTAAACTTACATATAGCTCACTCAATAGTTGTCGTCGTTTCGGAATTGTGCAGTGTATATTCTCCACAGCGTACCACTTTCAACTAGTGATTCTCTTTCACAATCCTGCCATTATTCACGATCAACATCGCAGTTAATGCAAAGTATTATCACTTATATACCAATCGAGCTCAAAAATACCAGTGTCAAAATTCTCCAAGTAGTAGACTAATCAGTAGACTTAAAAAAAATTTTCACAATACAATCCGATTTTTTTAAATCTCTTTAGCATTTATAAAAAAAAGAATCTAATAATTTTCTGTCTTCATCCCATTCAAGACATTTAATTACATACTTTCAATAAATTAATTATTTCTATAGTTAACCATTCATCATCAGATTCAATCCGACAAATTTTGTCGCCATGTTAATAAACAATTCATCAACATCATATAATCTTTGAGTATCCTGTGGAAAAAAAAAAACCAGATAGCTCGATAACTCAGTAGCCAGGTAGCTCACATAAATAAAATGGCTTACTAATCCACTATGTACATCTTTTCAATTTTGTGCATTCTTAACAATCCATTTTTACAAAGTCTCTGAATAATTGTGCTAATTTAGTACTTTAAGAATCCTTCTCCATTCAACTTTTATCCAGTTTGGAAGATCAATGAATTAAAAAGCTCACAGGGTATACGTCACTATAAAAAAAGTATGCGACTGTAATGACTTACTATACTCATTTTCAAACTTTCGTCCACATTTCTTCAAGAGTTAAGGTTGGGTTAAGCAGCGAATGTGAAATCTAAAATTCCAATAAAGGATACAAAATGTCGTTCAGAGGATGTTGTTTCAACAAACAGATCATCTTGTATCAATTTACGTTTTTATGTTTGTGAAGTTGCAAGTTGGTTTCAATAATCGTTCCTATTATACTGTGTAGTTTGTTATTCTTCCTCACTAAGGACAAGATTTCTAATTGAGCGAGATCAATAAATACCAATGGTAACAATATATGCAAATTTTATACTTCCTGCCATTTGATTTTTGTATGAGGCTTCTAGAAAATCTACACGACTACTAATCTACTCTCAAAACATAAATAGGTTTGACAATTTAAAAAAAAAATTTGCAACAACATTTGATTGGCCAATAATAAATGATATATCACGGGCAAGATCATCAAATGGTGTGACAAAAAACTTGCAATTTGGAATTGGGATGTTCCCTAGAATTTCAAATCAGTTAGAGATGTGGTAGGTTTTGAAAGCAGAAGCTTTACTAAACCTGGGTGTCCATTTTCCTGGTAACTTTGTGATTATAATTTGTAACTATTGACTATTTTTTTGTAGGCTTGTAAAGCAGTTAAAAATACACATAATACATAGTTTAATGAAAGATCTGCATGATTTACATGTCAAAATGGCTCGATTCCATAATCCCAATTTTAATTGCGTCTGACTCAATTAATTGCATCAAAAAGTCTCCAAATAATCAAAATATTTTTACCACATGAAATAGTGATGCAATTAAAAGGTACAATTCATTTATTCTCTGAAAAAAATATTTCAGAGCCTTGCTAAGGAATATTTTTAATTTAATTCACTTGTAAAGATAACTTCACACATAATAATAAATAAATAAATTCTTTGTTTCACTTATAAAAATACTTTATAGTCGGAAATTAAACAGTAGAGTTTAATTGTCCATTTATCATATCAAAGTGATATAGAACTCTGAAATTTTATTTATTTGCTTTGGTATAAAGCAAAGGTTTTGACGTTGGTTAACCGGTGTATTGTTAACGACGAGTTGTATAGAAAA